CAACAAGGGGTAGTGTCCCCAGGTACCAACTGGCTGGGCCTCAGAAGCTCCTGAGAGCTAGTAGCCCTGAGCTACTTGCCAGGACAGGTGCTGGCCCCGGGGTCTACCTGCAGATCTGGGAGGAGCCAGGCAGGGTTATTTTGACCCAAGTGGCACCTATTTGCTCCACAACAAAGTGCATGTCTGAGCACGTGCACTGAGGCAAAAAGCTCCGGCTCAAATCTGTACCACTTCTATTTGAGCTGCTGCGAGTGCACGTGCTTGCATGTGTGGACACGCCCAGTGCATCTAAATGAGAGGGACAGCAGCTGGTCCACAGAGTGCACATTCACTGGATATTCACACACTGAGAGAAAGGACAGGTAGAAAGGGACACCAAGTTACATGATTCACCCAAAGTCTCACAGGAGGAATTGAGGAGATGGGCTTTTGACTTCACCCAGTGCTCTAACCATGAGACTGCATTAACTTAGTTATCTATGAAGTGAAAATCCAGTTCTAGCTTAAATATATATTTGGTCTATAATCCAGTCTTCTTATGTAGACTTCCCAGTCTGTTAGAAATGTGTGAAAAAGGATTATAGTTACAATGCTTCCTCATTAAATATCTTGGATTGCTGATTTAGTTTCTGCTCTCTTTCAGGGCTACGATCACAGCTACTTTTTCATTGCTACGTTTGTTAATGATCACATCAGACACCATGCAAAGTATCTTAATGCTTGACTCCTTCAGATGGGAATTTCTTCCGTCCAATAGAAGTCAATGTTATCCACAAAACTGAACAAAGCAAAAATTGCTCACTGAATTAGTGTCTATAAAAATGGAGCCCTCATGACTTATACAAAGAATAAACATTCTGCCTGTGAACTTCAGAATAAATATTTTGAATGCTTATCTGCTTTGAAAAGTCTTTCTCTGGTGGAAAAAAGCATTCTGAAGCTTTTTGTCAAAATGGAAATTAGCATTTGTGTTTTTAGACTATGTATACATCCATCACTTCAAGATAGGGTTAAATAGAGCTGGGATGGGCATATGAGTAAGAAGAATTTACTGTAGCAAATTATGCACTGGCTTTCAATTTGTTATTAATTCAGCATGGTGCAAAATGGCTTGACAACTTTTACTATAAAGCTTTAAGAATCTCTTTTCTTAAACAAGTTGATTGGCTGTGAGGCTAACCTGAAGGGGCTTTCTCTTTATCTACTGAAATGATGTGAAGGTCAAAGTGGTGTTCTTGCTGGGAAGTACAGACAAGTTTACACTGCGCTGCTCCCTTGTTAATATTGACCCTATAACTTGGAGAGTATTCCATGAATGAGACTTGAGCAAATGGCTTTTGACAATCATTCTGATAGAAGGGATGAACTGCTCCCTGTACTATATTCATTTTCTCAGAATTTGTTACTGAGTACAAAAGGCCTCTGATGAAGTGAAGAGAGAGGTGCTACTCTACATAACTAAAGCAGCAAAACCTGTGCCCTTCTATTCTGGATTTAAAACTACTCCCATTAGTCTTTGATGCATGCTATTTGCTGGTTGTGTGAAAGAGGTACATACAGCCTCCTCTTCTTCACTGGAATGTTACCTCAAGTTGGTTCCCAAGGTAGTCAGTGAGTTCACCACGCAGTGAATTCAGAGCATATTACATTTGGTGATGGTGGGATTCAGTCAACCTGAAATGGGACTGTGCACTATGTAGCTTAGCTATGAAAGTATTTCCAGTGGCTGCACCAGCTGTTTCATGTCCTCAGCTGGTGGCACATTAATTCTCCCTTGAGGCTGGAGTAATGCCATTTATTATGTGATGACTTTGTAAGGAGAATTTCTTTTGAGAGTAAGGCTCTGAAAAATTTTTCTGCCATTGGTTCTCACTTCTTTATAAAGCTAACTTTTACTTAATTATTATAGAACTTCTCTGTATAATATACTGCACTTGCATAAATGGAAAAATAATTTATTTTACAGTAATGTACTTTGGTAATGGAATAGAGTAGCTGAAAACAAGTAGAAGAAATCATCTGACCAGCCATCTCCTTTTCAGACATCCGTGCTCCAGAATGTCTGCTCTCTCACACCTAGACTGTCCACTTTGGGTAAGAGGGAGTATCTGGACTTCCATAGAAAATCTTTTATTCTATAAGTATATTATTTTGAACTCACTTATACTTCCACAGATCACACTGACTGCAGCAGTTAGATTCTGGGGAAACTGCAATCTTTTAACATACTTAGCGATTGCTGGCTTTGAAGGCTTCCTATAGAAGGTGGTTATCTTGTCAATGGTCCAAGAGTAGATAAAGCAGAGAGATGGCAAAATGGAGACTTGTGAATATGCTTTCCAAGTAATTTAAGTGCCAAGATACTGAATGCAATGTAATTCTCTGCAACACTTCTGCTTGGGGACGGCAAATACTAGGCAGTCTCCACTAAGTTTGTTTCTCTGGCCAGAAATCAGGTTTGTAAAGCACAATTGATAGAATGCACACAGCTGGGATCTCCCTAAAGCCCGTGAAACAAATACTTATATACTATTTAAAGAAAAGCAGCCTTTTGGCTTCCACTTACCTGCATGAAGACAGCCTTTCATAGTCCAATGGACAGTCACAGTCAGTCAGATTCCAAACACTTACATGGGGAAAAAAAGACAAATTGTTTGCCAGGTCTTGGAGTTTTTCAAAGCTGTGTTGTCCAATGTATGCATTGCCAGGGTTGTGCATTTGTGCCTCGTGCTACAGCCGAGATGTTGTGCCTTTGAAATGCCGGTGAGGTGAGCTATAGCCCTACCCCTACTCATTTCCTGCTCCAGGGAGATAAAGCATTGTGTGCAGTTCCTCTTCCTTACTTGTGTACATCTCTGAGGAAGAGGGGAAGAAGAGCACAGTGTAGGTGTGCATATAGACTTTTTGGCAGAACTCTAGCTAACAGTAAGCAACATTTTTTCCCCTTCAAATGATCATCCATAGGTACAACCTCACTCCAAAACAGGGCCCACATACCTTGTGGTGAGCCTTGGAGTGTCCTCTGTTAAACAGCAACTAACAGATCTTAACCAAGCAGCAGCATCTCAGGCAGTTTCATGTACATATTGCATGGTAAAGTTATGTACTACACTCCAGGTGGCTGCCCTGCAGTTATTGGTTATGGAAACTGTGCAAGGATGCTATGGAAGTTGCCACTCTGGTCATAATCAAGTCTGTTAATGTTGGTCCCATCTTGTGGGTTTTATGATGCAGTCAGATACGTGGTTGGACAGTGTCTGTACTGTCACTAGGCCCATTAGATCTCTCAACTAAGGAAACCAAAAAGCTGTGGTGACTTTCTGAAAGGTTTAGTGCTGTGTAGATAAGAAGACAAGGCCCTTTGGACATAAAGGAAATGTGAGGGCACCTCCACTCAAGAAGAAAGAAGTCTGAGAGAGACACTGAGGGCTCAGATCTAACCCAGCCCTTTGCCAAAGTGACCATCACGAGGAAAGTGTTTTCATGGAGAAGTGGAGCAGAGTACGCATTGCCATGGGTTCAAACAGCAGCCCATTCTAAAATAAGAGGACCAAATTTAGGTTTCATTGTGGAATGGGATTTCTTACTTGGAGGAAAAAACCTTGATCAAGATCTTGAGAGATCTCAGCACTTGCATACGAAAAAATATGACAGCCATCAACCGGAAGAGGATTGGCTGAGATAACTACGAGGTGTTGTGATGGAGTGGATAGATAGTTTGCATACTTGAGATCCCACAGATCTCCTGGAATAGAAGATGGGTTAGGACTAAGCTTCTCACTTGGGACTAGCTATGAAAGCTGATGAACTACCTAGGAAAGTAGGTCCTCTTTTCTGCTGTAAATAAGAACATCCCTTATTTGGGCAGAGTACCTCCACTCCATCTCAGAGCCATACAGGAACCAGGCTGTGAGGTGAAGGAAGTGCAGGCTTCAGAAGAGTGCTCTCCCTCTGCTCCCAGTAGGGAGACCAGCCAATGCCACATTTTGTCCAGTTTGCAAAGTACCTGTGGCATCAGAGGTGTGAATCAGAAGGCAGGCAGGAGGGTTTACCACCACAAGATAAGGGAAGTATTAGCCAGAGCTTCCTGCAGTGTAGAGACGTGCACTTCCTATTGATACCCAATTCAGTGAATTCTAATTTTAGGCCAAAGATGGACGAGATAACTAAGATCTTAATCTCTACTTGTGATACAGAGAGAAATCTGCTAATATGGCCTGCCCTGGTAATAGAGACCAAGTTGGTATGCTGCGGGACAAGTGTATCGGATGCCAGATATGAAAATGGTCTACTTATACCAGTAGCGCATGTAGATGGGGCAAATCTTGCTTTGCCCTGTTAATGTAAAACATTAAGGTGGTATTTTGCCACTATCTGTACCTAAAACACCCAGGTGCAGTGGAAGAAAGCTCTTACTGTCCTGAGACTATACATTGATAGTCTTATCTCCTTTGGTATTCAGAGACCCTGCACTCAGATGTTGTGAACCTGAGCTCCCCAGCCTAACAGAAAGGTAAGTTTGTCACAATTGTCACAGGCAAATGGGAGGTGAGAAAAGGCAGTTCTTAGCACACAATGAGAAGAAAGCAGAGACAAAATTACAAGGGGATCATCACTTTCTGACTAACAAGATGTTCCCTGTAGAGAAAGGACCTGGGGATTACAGTGGACAATAAGCTGAATATAAGCCAACTGTGCCCTTGCTGCAAAGGCAGCTGTATTAGTAGGAGCATTGCCAGCAAATCAAGGAAAGCAATTATTCCCCTCTATTCAGCACTGGTGAAGCCACATCTGGAGTACTGTGTCCAGTTTTGGGCCCTCCACTACAGAAATGAGATAGACAAATTGGAGAAAATGAGTCCAGCTGAGGGCGTCGACAATGGCTTATGACAGGAGTGGGCAATTATTTTGGGTGGAGGGCCACTTACTGAGTTTTGGCAAGCAGCATAATAGGCAGCCTGGGGCAGCTAAATATTACTTTTCTAAATTTTTTAGGGGCCTTGCAGGTCAGATAGAATGGCTCGGTCGAGCTGGACTGTTCTGACTGGTCTCCAGTTGTAGCAAAGGAAGTTGAGGCTGGATATGAGGAAACACTTTCTCACGAAGAGGGTAGTGAAACATTAGAACAGGTCACCCAGAGAGGTTGTGGAAGCTCCATCCTTAGAGGTTTTTAAGACCCGAGAAGATGGTTTTGGTTGGTATGATCTAGTTGGAGATGGTCCTGCTTTGAGCAGGGGGTTGCACTAGATGACTCCCTGAGGTCACTTCCAACCCAAACTTTCTATGATTCTGTGAATATACACTTCACAACAAGGCAGAATTTACCTTCAGTGCAACCTGGGTTACAGTATTACACAAGTACAAGGTAAATGGTAGGAAATTGAGCCTTGCACTATATTACAAATGCCACAGGCTTTCACACTAATTACATTTGTAAGGTCCTGGCTGTGTGTCACCCTGTGGTGGGAGCAGTAGTTACAAAGATTTAAAAATCTTCTTTAGTACTATGGATGTTTCAACTGGGAGCTACACTGCCTGTGTCTTACTGTAATAGCTCTCTTGATGGAGAGTAGAACAAAGTGACAGCTTCCTTTTTTTTTTTTTTTTTTTTAAACAGTAGCTCATAAAGGATTTTAGAAATAAAAAAACTTGGTGCTTTTCCTGCTGAGAACTCTTAATCATTTTCTATTCTATAGCAACTTTTTGCTTTGCTGACAAAATGGAATTGGATTCATCACTACTGCTTTCCTCTAAAAACTATTTTCAGATGCAGTGCTGCGTGATCCATGAAGTTTTCCATGACAAATTGTTTTAAGAAAGCACTGAGAGGAGGTTTTATGAAATTACCTCCTGAAAAGATTATCTTGTTCTTCACAGAACTGGTTCCAGCTAAAC